TTTTTTTTTTTTTGAGAGGGCATCTCTCATATTTATTGATCAAATGGTTGTTAACAACAATAAAATTCAGTATAGGGGGGTCAATGCTCAATGTACAATCCTTAATCCATCTCAAGTCTAATTCTCGTCAGTCTCTCCAGTCTTCTGAAGCATAACGAACAAGTTCTTACATGGTGAACGAATTCTTACATAGTGAATAAATTCTTACATGGTGAACAGTACAAGGGCATTCATCACAGAAACTTTCGGTTTTGATCATCATTGTCATTTCTTTTTAAAGTAAAGGTTCTATTACACAAACTAATATGCTTAGCTTTGTTTTTATCTAGGGGACCAGATGATATCCATGGTTCAAATGGAGGCCCTAAAAATGTTACAGGGATTCCTGTTATGCAGGAAGAAAATAAGGTAGGAGTATTACAAGGTTTATAAACTGGAGTGGAACTTATAAAGAAAAGCCTTAGAACTGCAAAGGACTCTTACTGCTTTTTCTATTTTGTGAAAGTCCTGATCTCAAAGAGTTTGATAGATGTATTGCCTTTATTATCTGTAACCACATAATGTATCATTTTAGTGTGCTGTTTTCCAGTTTGTTTCACATGTGGGTGTCTTTCCTTCTCAATGTAGTTGTAATTTCTGTTAGCTCATTTGTCTCTTCTGTAGTACTCAATACTTAGTGAATGACTGATAGATGGATATAGCCAATGATAAAACTTAAAGATAAATGTAAACATTTAATGAATAACAAATCATGACTAAATGTAGAACATTTCCAACAGGGACTCTGTAAGGCAGCTAGTACATTATTGTGCAACTGGTAGTGTCTCACTGTATATTACTAATAGCATGTGTTTATGTTTTCTTTTTGTTTCTTTCACTAAAAAAAAAAGAATCTGTTACACTGCAAAGTTGTACCCATACCTTCTGCTAAATGACATTAATGGGAATATCTCTATATACAGGTACAATGGGAGGCTGTGGAATGTGAAGTGAGGGGCAATGTGTATTCACCACCCCATCCACTAGTCCAACCTGAAATTTTTGCCAGCACAGCATTTCCGTGAAGCCCATTATAAACCTCATTTGACTTGGAAGGACAGGCTTTCCAATTAGCACTGCACTGTAGGTAAGTCTATCAAATTAGCTAATTGGCACATTAGGAAGGACAGCAAGAACCTGGCCCCTCAAAACTGGCAACACTCCCTAGGGTAAGTAGAGAAGGCATGGCAGCCAAGAGCTTTCAGAGGAAAGGGACAATGCCAGGTACCCAAACATGAAGCAGTCAGGGGAGGTGCTCTGAGGTCTGCAGACAAACAACAGAGGGCGGACCCAGCCCAACTGGGCACTGTGATGTGGGAGGCCATAGGGACATGTGACACTTCTCACTGCATGACCTCTGAAGCTCCAGGAATTAGCTGATGTGATATTATTTTCTAGAATGAGATGCAAATCTCCTGGGAACAGCACACCAGGCATGCTTCAACGATAAAGCAGATGATCAATTCGATGATTCACTGTCTCAAAATCAGTAAGCCTCTCTAATGGCAAAAAACCCTTATTTGAACCATACAGTAGTACTTTGTTTTGCTCCTTTTTTTTCTCTGACTTCCATACTAAATTTCTCACTAAAGTCACCATCCCATTCTGCTGGATACCTTTTGCTTTTGCCTTTTACAGAAGTGAGAAGGACCATTATTACATTTTAAAACAACTATTGAATCAAAAGCAAGACCTGCAGTTGAGTGGATTTTCCAGATTAAAAAAATATATTAATCACTAATAAATACTCATCAATTAATAATATTAAAGCCTAATGTATATGTTGTGAGCAGTGCTTCTTTTTTACGGTAGTTCTGAACTTCCATAATTTCTTTTCTTCTTTTTGGGGGGAAGCTTTCCTAGCTAACTTCTGCTTTCTTTGGAATACATTTTAACCTTCTTAGGTGTGTTCCATGCTCCATGGGTGAAAACAAGCTGTAAATTCAAACTCTTAAAAGGTGCAAGGGTCTTACTGAAAATGTTCAGATTGTTTTAAGGTTTTACCAACTACACTGTGCCATCTTCCGGTTTTAAAATGAGCATTACAGCTTTTATGACCATTACCTCCTCAAGTATATATAAATTTCATTTTATAACACTGTTTATTGAGAAGAAGCAAGTTCTTCTATTTCCAACCCTTGGGCATAGGCAGTAACTCCCAAGAGCTTATTTATCTTCAATGGACATTTCTGTTTTCTCACCGTCACCTCTGCCCCAGGGTAACTACTCCATTTCATGAATTTGAACATTCAAGGCTTGGCTTTGGCTAACAGCCACCTGTTAAGTCAAATGGCCTGCAAGCTTACACATTCAGCTTTAATAAGCAACTTTAATCCAGCCTATACCTACATTGCAGCTGTTGATGTCAGTTGAGCTAACACGAACTGGATCTGTGAGGTAATCTTTATTTTAAAGAAGAAGGTCCTTAGAAGATTGAATCTGATTTCCCTTTATAGTCTGAAATGGTCTGGACACTTAAATATGTTTCAGATATTCACTTGAACCTCAATTACTTACTAAATATTTGAACACATGAAGATTTTCTTCCTAGAACCAGAGGTGTGAATTTTCATCTTTTTCCCAGTCTTACGAAACCACCAAGAATGGTGGAGACAACTGACTTTATGAAGATCAGCTAGACAATTATTTACCCCGAATGCCTCCAGTAGTGTTAGCTCCTCAGGTAGGAATTCCCATGAGTTCCCAGTGACTTGCATAGCAACTCAGGACCATGAGGACCTTAGGAAATGCCTCCTACAACTCAGTGAATTGTCACAGTGGCCCCAAATCATTTTCTGAGTCCTGGACTTTTGTGGCTCCTGTCCATGGAAAAATTCATGTGTGTTCCAAACATTGTATGTGATCTCAGGAGGTTCAAGGATCTTATGAAACTCACCGTGGAAGATTATGGACTACTTACTCTTCAAGAGCTTGTGTTTTAGGGCAAAGGCTGGCAAACTACAGCCCCTGAGCTAAATCTGGCCCACCCTGTTTTTGCATAGCCAGAATGGTAAAAATAGTTTCTACATTTTTAAATGGCTGAAAAAAGTAAAAGATGAATTTTGTAACACATGAAAATTTTATGAAATTCATATTTCAGTGTCTATAAATAAATCCAACTGTGCTCATTAATAAGCGTGTAGTATAAAAAGCTACGGATTGGATGTTTTGTTGCCCTTGTCTAGCTCGGATTAATACTTAGTCCATAGGCACACACCTGATCATCTACATTTGCCCTCTTACAGCACTAAATTATGTTTTCTACCTTTATCTTGCATCTACCTACCACTTCAGCATTTTATTAAAAAAAATAATAATAAGGGAGAAATGTGGGATTCACATATAAATCAAGTATAAAAATCAAACGAATAATCATATTTGACCTGATTGTTTATAGTTCATAATGCGTGATCAAAATTGAAAGTTTCTGTGATGACTGCCCTTGTACTGTTCACCATGTAAGAACTTACTCACTATGTAAGAACTTGTTCACCATGTAAGAACTTGTTCGTTATGCTTCAGAAGATTGGAGACTGTTGAGAATTAGGCTTGGGGTTGATTAATGATTGTGCATTGAGTCCCCTATACAGAATTTTATTGTTGTTAACATCCATTTGATCAATAAATATGAGAGATGCCCTCTCAAAAAAAATTAAAATAAAAAAAATAAAAAGCCATGGATATTTGTTTTCTCTCTTGTTACAGAAGTACCTACATAATAGCCTCAACTTTGCCTCATGTCCCACAAAGCCTAAAATATATACTGTTTAGTCATTTACAGAAAAATTGGCTGACCATTATTCTAGAGGA